AGGCCCCAGGTATGATATCTTAGAATTATAGATTTGGGAAAATAATTGCATTTTGCCGAACCGTTAGAGATCATAATTGATGATGTGAAGTTCGAAGGATCAGTAATCTCGAAAATATTATAATGACAAAAAGTCCGGCACCTGGTGGAGTAGGATGATGTGATGGATCAGATCTCACATAGATGGCCAGCATATATTTTTTAATTATTTATGTTCCATTAAGAGTTGATAGGTTGAGGGCTAGGCGGTTTGGAATGGATTACTTTTATCAATCTTACTATTTAGTTTTTGAATGCAAGTAGCAGACAGAAGAATAAAGTGTATTTTAAATTAAATAAGCTCTATACAAGTAGAAGCTTTTTTTTTTTTTTTTTAATCTTATATAAGATTCTTATGTTTGGTGTGTCAAATGTCAAATATACTCAATGATACTCAATAAGATTCGATGTCTCTCAATGTGAGAGGTTCTCTCATTATGTAGAACCAAAATTTCAACTAAATATGGTTACTATCAATTACAATATTCATTAATGGTAACCTATTAAATATATTAGCTGTCCTTATGTTTTAACTTTCCTTACATTCTACTGACATGTCCCCTTAAATTGATGCTTTTTGCAATCTTGAAGTGGTGGCGGTGATAATGTTTGTGCCCACGAAGAAGAGACCCAAATCACAGCAACCATCTTTGAAAATTAGTGATGACGAGAGACCCAAGAACAACAAATAGTGCAGAAATAGCCAAAAACCACTCCAACACTCCAAAGCCACTCCAGAGAGCAAACACCCTAAGAATAATTTTCTAAAGAAATTCACGAAATGTGCCAACCACACACAATGAGCTATATTAGTCGGGAGAACTCAGTCAAATACATAATTCATGTTCCAAAAAAAGTTTTAACGGTTAATGCATCGGCCAAAAATTTAGTAATATATCACTGGTCAAGATGTTGCAGTTGGAAGAAATCCCATTGAACAGCCTACATCAAAAACTCAGGTGTGATCCTCCTCTGAGAATCCAGAAGCACCCAAGTGTGATCCTCCTTTGAAAATCCAAAATTCTAGCTCATCATCCAAAAGCCAAAACCACAGCAAAAAATATTTCACTACTACCAAGAAAATCCATTTGGTATCCATACCCTTCTTAAGACAACTTCCAATATCTTCCCTACCATTCGCACCTGTTGATTTTGGATTCAAAGTCAAATTTATTAGAGAAAAATATCCTAGAATTATGCAATCGCCAAACAAATTCAATAATCAGCAGAATTATGTAGCTCAATGTTCAGCCTTTGTCACAAATCTCCTAAAATTTCAAATAAAGTAGCCCAACAATACCTCAACCTAATAATCAGCCCACATTCTATAGCCCAATAATCTGTCCAATGCACTAATGAAGTGGCCCAAACCGAGAACATTACACTTACTATAAGCCAATAATTAGCTCAAATACTTTAGCCCAATAATAAGACCAACATACTAAAAAACAACCCAAACTAACCCTACCAAGAAGACTGGACGAGGGGAGCAAAAGCTCCTCCAGCCATGAGAAAACCCAACCACGAAAACGAGAGAAAATTCTAAAGAACTTGTTTCAATACCATGTTAGATATACTCAATGATACTTGATAAGATTCGATGCCTCTCAATGTGAAATGTTCTCTCATGATATAGAATTAAAATAACAATTAAATATGATAACTATCAAGTACAATATTCATTAATGGTAACCAATTAAATATGGTAACTTTTCTTATATTCAAACTTTCTTTATATTCCACTGACATCAAAGGGAGAGGAAGTTTTATGAGCCCCTTCCTTAGAAGTAGTATCTTTGACTAACAGTAGTCAAATCAAAGCTCGTGCTTTCCAAACTGCCTTGTGATGGGATTACTTGCATGTCTAAATTAGGCATCGAAGACAAAATTTAAATGTTATATATATGATCCAATAAAAAAGCTTAAATTTTTAGATCAAGTGATTCAACATGGTATTAGAACAAATCCAAGTCTTGCCTCCACCCATTTAATAAAATTGTGCACACGTTAGGCTTTGATGGAAAAATAAAAGTCAATCTCGCCTACATGTGAGGGGATATGTTGAAATAGAATATAAATGATATACATGCGAGGGGATATGTTCAACCTTTTGTTGTTTTAATTTGATCCCCATACTTTTGAGAATTGTCTTTCGTGAGTTGCCTGGAATAAACTCATTTTTTTTCCCTTTGATTTGAATTTGCAGATGATGGCATCCTATTCTGTTTCGGATGCTGTCGCAACTTATTACTTGTATATGACATATGTACACCCCTTCATTTTCTCGCTTGCTACCATAATTCCGATGCCACCAGATGAGGTTTTACGAAAAGGAAGTGGGACTCTCTGCGAAATGCTTCTTATGGTCCAGGTGTGTACCTAAAGTCTTATATTCTTTAAGCCCGTGTGTAAAGTCTTTTAACTGCATTGTCAAAATTTTAAGTTCCCACGACTTTTTTTCCTTCCCTTGATAATTTTATGATTATTCTACTTTTCCTTCTCATGTACTGGTTAAGTACCCTGACTCATTGCTTTTGGCGTCTTTATCTCAATGTACTCCCACCTTCTCACCCCCCCCCCCCCACTCACACACTCTCTCAAAAAGGAAGAAATGAAAAGATTTACCATGTCGACTGAATCCTTATTCAAGTTCGGTTTCATAATGCTTGCAGGCATATAAAGCAAATGTTATCTGTCCTAACAAGCACCAATCTGATCCAGAGAAGTTCTACAACAATCAACTCCTTGAGAGTGAGACATACATTGGTGGTCACGTGGAATGTCTCGAAAGTGGTGTTTTTAGATCTGATCTTCCAACTAGTTTTAAACTTGATCCATCCGCTTATGAGGTTGCTATCTCGTCCCCTTTACATTTACAGTTATCAGTTGAACTTCATTTTGGTCGAAGCGTATCCAAGTGAAAATGCAATGAAATTTTTTGGAGATTGGAAATGACATCATTTTCCTATACATATCTGGTGTATAATGTGACCAGAGCAAGCTACATGGTTATTTATTAGAATTATAAAAGAATATTATTCATTGTTATCCTGAGTGATGGAATGTGGGTATTCCTTAGCGTACTAAAATTTTATATGTCCTGTAATCAAAAGATTTGGATTCACAAATTCATTTAAAAATAGAAACTCTTAATTAGACATCTTTTATTTCTTTCTTGTACTCTGGAAACTCTCTGCTTTTAATAACATCAGTCTCTCTAGCATACTCTACTGTTCCTTAATATTTTATGTCTGTATTTTGCTCATTAATCATTATGGCCACATGTCCTGTAATCTTATAGTTGTGCTGGAGTATGGTGCCTGCTATATAAGTTGTTGAAAAGATTAAAGCAACTACACCAACAGGCCCCTTCCTTGTACATAAGTTTGGGTGGTTGTGTAGTCTTTCATTTTCCACTCTGCTATGTTAAGAGCTATTTCTATGATACAAATTATAATTCACCTTGTGACGCTTATTCTTTTTGTCTTTACCAGCCAAAATATTTTTGAATTTTGATTAATTCACTATATCGTCAGCTTCTTGTGAATGCCTTGTTACACTTGCCTTGATAGACTATCAGCAAGACTTTCCTTCCTTGTGTTAGTTTGACTAATGGTTGCAATGTAATATTTTTACAGCAACTGATCAACAATCTTGACCGCGACCTGCAATATGCTATTAGAGTAGAGGGAAAGTTGGACTTGGAATCAGTTTTAAATTATGAAGAAGTGAAGAATGCTATCATGGAAAAGGTGCTGGTTCTTTCTGTTTTTGAAGCCTGGTTTCTTTTTCCTATAAATAAATGGAAGATATACAAATCTGGAAATATTTTCCTCAGTTTCCTCTTTAAAATTAATTTTCTATCACTCCAATATTAACCACTTTGTTTTGTTTGTTATCATAAATGATATGATAAATGTCAATTCTACAATTATAAATAGTCTTGGAAGTCCGTCTTAAAAGGTTTACCTTGTTATAGTGACTCATTAGAGAATGCCAATCTTAGACGCCTTGCATGGTTGAGTTTTAGCCTATGCTTGGCTCATGTTTGAACATCCAATTTTTATCCACATATTTCTAGGAATCCACCATTAATTTTTTTTGTATTTTTAATTTAAACTGTTTATAAACAATTATCCAACATGCTTTTAGACAGATTGATTGCTTATTTGCGCCTTTTGGGCTATGCTATCATATTCACCGTCTCATCTAAAAGCTTAATTTGTTAGAGAGGCGTCACATGTATTCATTTTAAATTTTGGCTTCAATGCTTCAACAATAAAACTATTATTTACTGGAGTTTGGTTTCAGCTCAATTTCGTGTGTGCATGTGTGGGGTTTTTCACGAGATACAATCTTAAAAATAATATAGGCACCCCAAATCGCATCCATAAATTATCCAGTGAGACATGCAAAATCACCTGCAATCTTTCTTTTAACTCTGTCCTTCAACTTGCAGCTTATGAGGTTGAAAGATGAACCTATACTTGAAGAATTCCCTCTTATATACCATCTTGATGTTGCTGCAATGTATCCAAACATCATATTGACAAACAGGCTACAGGTAAGCAACTGAGGTGACTTCATCTAGGGCATCCTTTCTATTAAGTTTCATACTTCTGCAAATTTTGTGCCATCTACTGAAAAGAGAAGAAAAATGTGGGCATTGTCTGTTGATGATTGACTGTCATCTAAACTGATCCTGTTGCTGCTCCTGCACTGTTATACCTGTTCAATTCTAGCAAAGGAATGACCAATGGCAAATTGAGAAATTAAATTAAACAAGGAGAAGTTGCTGTTTGTTACATGCACAATACAAATAACCAAAACCCGTTGAAGCGATGAACTTTGTTGCATTTTTTATTTTCCTATTATGATTAACTATTGTAGTTAGAAAGTAAAGAGAACTAAACTGCACTTTAAGTGAAACGTCTACATGAAGTTCTAAATAGGCAATCATTATAAGCTTCCAGGTTTTGAATTTTCTTCATCTAAGAATAGTCTTCCTGTGTGTAGTACACGATAATGTCTCTTTTTTATATATCTGAATCTGAATTATGAGACAGAAATTAGGTACACTATGCTTGAAATGTACTGCCTTGTAACTACTGTACTTAGTCTTGCCTTTTAACCTTTTAATCAAGACTGATAAAACTACTAACCTAATCTGTGTATTTTTACATGAAATAATGAAAGTAATACAGTTTTTTTCCCTTAATTTTTTTGGTTCATTTCTCTTTTCTTCTTTTATACCTGTTCTACTTTCTTGGCAAATATGAACTTAGTTTTTGGGTATCACTTGTTTGTTTTGGTTGTCATTTTTCCGATTAAGCCACCACAAGAAATTATAGTTATCATTCAAAGACAGATTTCTAGACTTCTTTTTCAATAAACTAAGTTTATTCTTTATCGTGATCTGCAGCCTCCATCAATAGTTACAGATGAAGTATGTACTGCATGCGACTTCAATCGTCCTGGAAAAAAATGCCTAAGGAAGCTTGAATGGGTTTGGCGTGGAGAGACGTACATGGCAAAGAGAAGGTCTACATTCATCTCTCTAGTTTTTATAACATGTGACTGTTGCTCATGCATACTTATATTTGTCCCCCTCGATTATCTTATCAGTGATTACCATCATCTAAAGAGGCAACTTGAGTCTGAGCTTGTTGATAGCATAACTGGGCAACTTGCAAAATCTTTCCTTGACCTACCTAAAGCAGAACAACAGATGAAGCTCAAAGAGCGTCTTAAGAAATATTGCCAAAAGGTTTTCTCACCTGTCATGTTCAGTTCAAATAATAATACACGCCTTTGACAGTTCTTACAGTAGTGTTTTCTTTCATTTTGCAGGCATATAAAAGAGTACTTAACAAACCAGTCACTGAACTTCGAGAGGCGGGGATCTGTATGCGTGAAAACTCATTCTATATTGATACTGTTCGCAGGTAAGCATATTGGATTTTAAGTCATTGTTCTATTTGACAGTATATGATCAACAATTTCTAGCTTGTTATTGAAAAGGAACATGCACATTTTTATTTGTCAATATTTAATGTTGACGAACTTATGTTTTCTAATCATTTTCCTCTTTTCTTTTGACGAAAGTTTTCGAGATAGAAGGTACGAATACAAAGGGCTCAACAAAGTTTGGAAGGGAAAGTTGTCTGAAGCAAAGTCAAGTGGAAATTCTATCAAAATCCAGGAAGCTCAAGTATCTCTTTCCCTCATATTGAATACTATCAACTTGTCATTGAAATAGAAATGATCTCATCATCAATTACCATACTTTTCCAGGACATGGTGGTGCTCTATGATTCATTGCAACTAGCACACAAATGTATTCTCAACTCCTTCTATGGATATGTCATGCGCAAGTATATTTCTCGATCCCATTATGGTTTAGTTTCCCGTCTGTCTTAAGAATCGTGATTGAGCTATTGATGTGTTTTGTCAAATTTTAATTTTCCAGGGGTGCAAGATGGTACTCAATGGAAATGGCAGGAGTTGTTACGTACACTGGAGCAAAAATTATTCAGAACGCTCGCTTGTTGGTTGAAAGAATTGGAAGGCCACTTGAATTAGACACTGATGGTATCTGGTGCGCCCTACCGGGGTCATTCCCAGAGAACTTCACTTTCAAGACGAAGTATGACTTTACTTGTAGATTCACATGGTTGCTTTTGAATCTTTTTATCACAAGTTACCTGATACTTTCATTTATCCAAGGTCATTTTGGGATGGTTACAAAACCTGTTTGTATTCACTAAAAGTTGTAAGCATACCAGGCTTCTTTCAATGTTCTTTTCTTTTAGGTGCTAACTCTTTTGTGGATCATGTGTATCAGAGACCCAAAGAAGAAGTTGACGATATCATATCCTTGTGTTATGCTTAATGTAGATGTGGCTATAAACAATACTAATGATCAGTACCAGGTAAGCAATGAAACTCCATTGGTTTGTCTTTAAACATATTACTGAACAATTCTTGCAAATTATGCTAATTGCTCAATACCATTCTTTTAGACGCTAAAAGATCCGGTCAATATGACCTATGTGACACATAGTGAATGCTCAATTGAATTCGAGGTGGATGGGCCCTATAAGGTGATTCGTCTAGACTTCACTCACGAGATGACAATTAAATTAAATTATTAGTTGACCATTATTTATGATTTACTGGTCATTTTAAACTGATTTTGATTATTATTCCTGTATAGGCTATGATTCTTCCTGCTTCCAAGGAAGAAGGAATTCTGATTAAGAAGCGTTATGCAGTTTTTAATGATGATGGTACACTAGCAGAGCTGAAGGGTTTTGAGATCAAGCGTAGAGGCGAGCTAAAGCTCATCAAAGTTTTCCAGGTATATATTTTATGTGTGCCCATGCTGTAGTTTTCTTTAAGTGATAAATATTTCATTTTTCCTCGCATCACACATCTTGAGAGCTAATGGTTGATTTACTCGTATTCATCCATTTCTACCGCAAACCCAATTTATAGTGGCATAGTGGCCCTCACAATGACAACTTTTTTCTAGTATTCGTCGAGGTTGAATATTCAGTCACTTGAAAGAACGAGAGATTTGCATAAAAACGCTTTTCCCCCAATAATTGAGGTGTATGAAGAAGTTGAAAAAATATAATGAAATGAGCATGATTTTCATTTTTCTTTCTCCTGCTTATAGAAATGGAAAAGTCTAGTTAAATAGATTTTTTGGAAGGTGGATAATCATTAAGCAAGAATCTCAGCATAGGCTATTGATGCTTGATGTGGTGATTAAGAAATGGAAGAGAAATGCCAAAGATGTTCGATTTCACAAAACAAGATGGTACCTGAGTTGGCAAAGGTCTTGGATTGAAGTCCCGCTGCCACACATTTAATGAAATTGTCCACGTTTAGGCTTTGATAAAAAAGAAAGAATCTCTTCTGCACAACGAGTGTGTAAAAGATAAGATTTAAATAATATACACGTGGTTCTCTCTAGAAAGTTATTTTGTTAGATTAATTGGCTCAACAAAGCGTATAAATAAATGATTTAGTATGCTTAAATTTGTTGGTATCTCCAGCACAGATAAAGTTAAAACATAGCCATAAGTATTTGTTACCATCTGATTTAAAGTTGAATTCCAAGAGAAAATATTAATTTGCGCTAAGCGCTATTTTTTTTATTATTACATATTACCACTATATATAACCAGTGGAAATGTCTACGCCTTTCCTTTGAATTCTTAAATAGAAATTCACAGGAGAAACATCTTTAAAAAGCTAATAATACTCATGTGTCTCTTGATAATATATGAATTCTAGAATATACCTAGAGGCTAGAACTGAGGTACAAAACATGGGACCATTTGCTCCCTTTTGAGCATTTAGTGGTTTAGCTTAAATATGTCCCATTCAAGTTTGCATACAGCTATATTCTTGTTCCTTTGAACTTTACTCCTTTAGCTGTTCTATTATTTTTCCCATTTACTTTAAGTTATCCAATAAGCTTCAAGAAAAAATTACATTGGCAGAAATCCTTTGACTTTGTATTATTTTGCTATAAAAAATTTTCTCTCTCAATTTTTAGATAGATGCTATCATATAGTGCAGGTATCATGTACTTTCTCAGTTTTTATAAATGATTTGTAGCTTTGCTTCATGAGTAACTTGGAATGTCATTTTGCAGGCTGAACTATTCGATAAGTTTCTGCATGGGTCAACTTTAGAAGAATGCTATTCTGCTGTTGCTTCTGTTGCAAACCGTTGGCTTGATCTTCTTGATGTACGTTATAGAGCTGATAATAAGTTCTAATGTTCCCTAATTGAAACAGGCTGGAAAGTCTCGCAACAAGAAATATTGATTCTGCTTGTCAAAATATTCTCATACTTGCCATCAATATAGAAAAAAAATGAGATATAAAGGAGGTTTTCTTTCTTGTATTATGAACTAGAATAGACTTTCCGTTCAAACAGTTAGTAAATGAAAAAACCACTAGTTTAGTAAATATTTCACATTTTCTGGAAGAGAGGGAAAAGTGACGTTCAATTTAGCTCGAGTTATTTATATGTTTCTAAAATTGGTCATAGTTGCACAACTTAAAATTTATTTTTCCTTTTATCTCAGCACAGCGCGTCATTATTGCATGAGAGTTCAATCTAATAATCAGTGAGACTAATTGATTATAATTTCAGAATCAAGGGAAAGATGTAGCGGATAGTGAGTTGCTTGACTACATATCTGAATCAAGCACAATGAGCAAGTCCTTAGCAGACTATGGTGAACAAAAGTCATGTGCAGTGACCACAGCAAAGCGTCTTGCTGATTTCCTCGGGGATGCAATGGTAAAAGACAAAGGATTGCACTGCCAGTATGTAGTTGCATGTGAACCCAAGGTATGCAACTCTTGTGTTCAGTTAGGGTGTGTTTGATTACATTAATTTTCCATGGAAAATATTGGTTTTCCATCCAAATTTTCACTTGGAGTGTTTGATTGCTATTTTTTTCCATGGAAAACATTTTCCAACTTTTGAAAATATGCCTAATTTTCCTTGTTTTTAAGGAAAATATTTTCCTTGGATAGAGGTGGTTTTTATTTTCCACAAAAGATGGAAAATATTTTCTTTTCTAGGTAATATTTTCCATGTCAATCAAACACACTCTTAGTGTTAGATTTTTCTATTTTTGTCAAGAAGTAAAGTGGAGTATTAAATGACGGCCCATGCGAAAATAAAAATTGAGAGGTTTTCTGTTTTATGATTACTTTTCTTTGAATGATTAGCTCCTTTGAATACTATATTGGAAAATGTGACAATGACAACATTATATCAAAACAACAAAAAAGAAAAAGATCACAGGAGGTTGGCCTATTTTCTAAAAATGCATACCTGAGATGGTCTTTACATATTACATTCTATAACAAATTGATTAATGCTGGTTTGAATGGCTTACGAACTTTAGTGGCCACTACTTTGCAAGAAGGGCTTAAGCATTTTGGACCAATTTGCTCGTGTCCATGCATTGCCGGGCCCTTTTTAAAATGTCGCCTCCTATATAGTTTAAGATTTGGCTTCTCCATCATATGAAGATAAATACAATAGTGTTCATTCCATAAAGTTTGAAGTCAACATGTTAAAGGATATTCTCTTGCTTTATTTATCTAATTGAAGATATCCAGTGAAGTGATGGATGTGCCAGACGATGTCCTAGGACATGAACTATTGTCATTTGTTCATAGTTGCCAACCTTCCTCTCTTAGGCATTAGTTAATTATATGGTTCTTGAGTTGTGCAATCCGATGTTTCTTGGATTCTTAGGCTATTTAAATGTAACATTGAGCAGGGAACCCCAGTAAGTGAGCGCGCTGTTCCAGTTGCCATTTTTGAAACCAATGCCGGTAAAATTCTCTTCAAGTTTTCTCCATATTTTTCTTCATGCATTTGTAACATACAAGAAGTGCTTATATGTATAGGCTTTTTCAGAAATTATGAAGTTCTATGTGAAAAAGTGGTGCAAAATTTCATCAGACATTGGGATCCGGTCCATTATTGATTGGTCATACTACAAACAACGGCTTAGTTCAGCAATTCAGAAAATTATAACTATTCCTGCTGCAATGCAAAAGGTGGAGATACTCTTCCATGCTGCTTACTATAATAGTACTTCTTTTGGTTTATAATACCAATTGTTTATTTATCAGATTGCGAATCCTGTTCCAAGAGTTGTTCATCCTGATTGGTTGTATAAAAGGGTTCGTGAAAAGGAGGACAAATTTCGCCAGCGAAAATTGGTTGATATCTTCAGTGTGGAGAAAAGAGATGATGCAGTAAGTGCCAATAATGATCTTGATACCACTAATCACAAAATAGGCGAGAGTAATGTCATAGACTTGGAAGACTTCAGGAGCAATAGAAAAACTTCTCTTGTCAGGCCTCGACCTATTGTTCATGCCTATGGAATCAACAATGAAATGAGTCGAAGCAAAACAAGTTTTCAAGTAGAAAGTCCAGAACAAATTGATTTTGGTGGAAATGGATGTATGGCCTCAAAGCAACCACTACAAACTGTTTTCATCAAAGAGAATATTGACAGGAATGTTGATTATGAAGGATGGCTTGAATTAAGGAAGAGAAAGTGGAAAGAGACTCGAGAGAAAAGGAAGCGTCAAAGGTATGTTTTCTATTGACTGCAACTTCTGATGTCGTTGTCCGATTGCTGCAGCTTCCCTCAGAGTGTCTATTAGTTCTGCATCATTGCATGTTTCCTCAATGTTAATATCATTGGGTTTAGAGAAAATTAAGGTGTTCAGAGTTAAAATCAATGACCATCCAGATAATCAATACATTATTTAATTTTGGAGGTATCGCCAATTCCTGTTCAATCAAAGTCCTTTGTAAAGCTGATCAACTATTCTCGTCACTAATTCCCTCCTGTTCTGAGCTTTCCCAGACAACTCCCTTCTGAACTGCAGCGGTCTTTTAGATAGAGAACCAACTCCCAAGATGAAACTTATCTGAGAGACAAGTGAGGCTCCAACCTTTTCACGGGTCTTGTATCCTTGATAAACGTACGGGGTTCTTTGTATATTTTCTTTACTTCTCCAATAACAATCCCCTCAGTCTTTATTTTCCTCTTTAATGGACTATTATAGCATTGTATATCATTATTGCTGTGCACTTTGTTTGACTGGTGTTGATATGACATACATGACTTCGGCAGGTTGGACAACTCAAGCACATTTAATCTGATGAATGGTGTTGCTGACAAGCGTAGTAGCTTTGTCAATCACAAACAGCCTCAAGGAAAAACAGGGGTCAATTCCTATTTTGAGAGACATGATTTAGCACTTATGCGCTCCCACTGGCAGGTGATGAAGTTCTCAAGCAGTTTAAAAGCAATTTTCTTTTACCTCTTATATTTTGATTTCTATGTTCTATATATATATATCCATCCCTAAATGAGTGTCTAGCCTTGTCTTCTTGTTGTGCCAGATTATCCAGATTGTACCCAGTTCGCAGCATGGCCATTATTTTGCTTGGGCAGTTATTGACGGAAACATGTGTAAAATTCCCATACTTGTCCCCAGAGTATTTTACCTCAATTCTAAAGCTCCTGTGACGGAAGAATTCCCTGGAAGGTGTGTCAATAAGATTCTTCCCCATGGACGTCATAGCTACAATTTGATTGAGGTATATGATTGGATCTCAATAAAAGTTACCCAGTAGTTCTGGGCAATTCATGGGGAGGCAAGTGTTTTCAGGTGCAAAAGTAATTATTTTAGTTCGTGTATTTTTTATAAGGTTATAATTGATGAAGACCAATTTAAGTCCGAAAGCAAGAAATTAGCAGCTCACCTTGCAGATCCTGAAGTTGAGGTGAATTACAACACCATTCACTTTTTATTGTAGAACTCTTGTTCTTTGAGTGATTTGAATGGTGGTAACTTGTAGACGCTCAGGCAGTGCAGGTCTTCATTATCTTAAAACTTTTCTACTTTTAAGTCAAACAATTATATCTCTCTGTCTAGGGAACATGATATTCGATGCTATTTACAAGAGTTTGATCTCAAAATGCATCTCATGGTGGAGTCACTTTATAATTATGGGAAAAGCTGCAATAACACCAGAATCTTTCTTTCACCGTCAAAAAATTGTAATATGAGAGTGCTAAGTGGATTCTTCTCAGTTTATTGTTGCTCGTTTGCAATCTCATGGAACGTGAAAATGTGGAATCAACTTCTGTGCACTAACCTGATCTATACCCTATATGCTTTAAGGATTGCACCTGTGCACTGGCACTACTTGTTTCCTTGTGGTATGAAATCTAATTATCAGTCCTCATAGTGGAAAGTAGAACTTATGTTGAGTACTTGAAAAATTTATACATCGTTTTCGCATCATGAACAAGTAGAGGGAAGGGATTATCATCTACTTTCAAGCAACCTTTCTGATGCTCCCAGACATGTTTTGTGACTATGATATCATCATGAATAGAAAAGGTTGCAAACTGCTACTGACATAGCCTGTAATGTTTCCTAAGGACATTTCTGTTTTCGATCTTGTTGAAGATAATGTTTTTAAATGATATACATGTGACCCTTTCTAACAACTTAAGCTTTTAGATTAAGTGGTTTTACGTGGTAAGCAAATGTCACGAGTTTAGGTCCTTTCATTTAACAGAATTGTGTGTGCATCAGGTTTTGATAGGAAAAATGAACCCTGCCTACATGTGAGGGTGCATGTTGAAAACAATATTTAGATAATATACATGTGGTCCTCTCTAACTACTTATTATTTTAAATCAAGTAATTCAAAAAAATCTTTTAGTAGATCTAGCAATGAATTGAACTAAGGGGAGAAAAATGATTCATGCAACTCCAAATTATTGGGAAGAAGGATTAGTTTGTTTTAGTTATAACTTCATTTTGTCTCAGATTTCTGCAACATAAAGAATTGTTCTTGCTTATAGCTTCAGCTTACATCTTAATAGCGACAACGCTCTGATTTTTGTTGAAAAAGCTCCATTTGCTATTGGATTTTAAATGTCTAAAGTGAAACAAATTTTGATGGACTGTTGTAGAGGTCCTTCAAATGGATGACTGCTTATTACTCTTACAGCAATTTTAGCATGTTTGAACATCCAATTTTTATCCACATATTTCTAGGAATCCACCATTAATTTTTTTTGTATTTTTAATTTAAACTGTTTATAAACAATTATCCAACATGCTTTTAGACAGATTGATTGCTTATTTGCGCCTTTTGGGCTATGCTATCATATTCACCGTCTCATCTAAAAGCTTAATTTGTTAGAGAGGCGTCACATGTATTCATTTTAAATTTTGGCTTCAATGCTTCAACAATAAAACTATTATTTACTGGAGTTTGGTTTCAGCTCAATTTCGTGTGTGCATGTGTGGGGTTTTTCACGAGATACAATCTTAAAAATAATATAGGCATCCCAAATCGCATCCATAAATTATCCAGTGAGACATGCAAAATCACCTGCAATCTTTCTTTTAACTCTGTCCTTCAACTTGCAGCTTATGAGGTTGAAAGATGAACCTATACTTGAAGAATTCCCTCTTATATACCATCTTGATGTTGCTGCAATGTATCCAAACATCATATTGACAAACAGGCTACAGGTAAGCAACTGAGGTGACTTCATCTAGGGCATCCTTTCTATTAAGTTTCATACTTCTGCAAATTTTGTGCCATCTACTGAAAAGAGAAGAAAAATGTGGGCATTGTCTGTTGATGATTGACTGTCATCTAAACTGATCCTGTTGCTGCTCCTGCACTGTTATACCTGTTCAATTCTAGCAAAGGAATGACCAATAGCAAATTGAGAAATTAAATTAAACAAGGAGAAGTTGCTGTTTGTTACATGCACTATACAAATAACCAAAACCCGTTGAAGCGATGAACTTTGTTGCATTTTTTATTTTCCTATTATGATTAACTATTGTAGTTAGAAAGTAAAGAGAACTAAACTGCACTTTAAGTGAAACGTCTACATGAAGTTCTAAATAGGCAATCATTATAAGCTTCCAGGTTTTGAATTTTCTTCATCTAAGAATAGTCTTCCTGTGTGTAGTACACGATAATGTCTCTTTTTTATATATCTGAATCTGAATTATGAGACAGAAATTAGGTACACTATGCTTGAAATGTACTGCCTTGTAACTACTGTACTTAGTCTTGCCTTTTAACCTTTTAATCAAGACTGATAAAACTACTAACCTAATCTGTGTATTTTTACATGAAATAATGAAAGTAATACAGTTTTTTTCCCTTAATTTTTTTGGTTCATTTCTCTTTTCTTCTTTTATACCTGTTCTACTTTCTTGGCAAATATGAACTTAGTTTTTGGGTATCACTTGTTTGTTTTGGTTGTCATTTTTCCGATTAAGCCACCACAAGAAATTATAGTTATCAGTCAAAGACAGATTTCTAGACTTCTTTTTCAATAAACTGAGTTTATTCTTTATCGTGATCTGCAGCCTCCATCAATAGTTACAGATGAAGTATGTACTGCATGCGACTTCAATCGTCCAGGAAAAAAATGCCTAAGGAAGCTTGAATGGGTTTGGCGTGGAGAGACGTACATGGCAAAGAGAAGGTCTACATTCATCTCTCTAGTTTTTATAACATGTGACTGTTGCTCATGCATACTTATATTTGTCCCCCTCGATTATCTTATCAGTGATTACCATCATCTAAAGAGGCAACTTGAGTCTGAGCTTGTTGATAGCATAACTGGGCAACTTGCAAAATCTTTCCTTGACCTACCTAAAGCAGAACAACAGATGAAGCTCAAAGAGCGTCTTAAGAAATATTGCCAAAAGGTTTTCTCACCTGTCATGTTCAGTTCAAATAATAATACACGCCTTTGACAGTTCTTACAGTAGTGTTTTCTTTCATTTTGCAGGCATATAAAAGAGTACTTAACAAACCAGTCACTGAACTTCGAGAGGCGGGGATCTGTATGCGTGAAAACTCATTCTATATTGATACTGTTCGCAGGTAAGCATATTGGATTTTAAGTCATTGTTCTATTTGACAGTATTTGATCAACAATTTCTAGCTTGTTATTGAAAAGGAACATGCACATTTTTATTTGTCAATATTTAATGTTGACGAACTTATGTTGTCTAATCATTTTCCTCTTTTCTTTTGACGAAAGTTTTCGAGATAGAAGGTACGAATACAAAGGGCTCAACAAAGTTTGGAAGGGAAAGTTGTCTGAAGCAAAGTCAAGTGGAAATTCTATCAAAATCCAGGAAGCTCAAGTATCTCTTTCCCTCATATTGAATACTATCAACTTGTCATTGAAATAGAAATGATCTCATCATCAATTACCATACTTTTCCAGGACATGGTGGTGCTCTATGATTCATTGCAACTAGCACACAAATGTATTCTCAACTCCTTCTATGGATATGTCATGCGCAAGTATATTTCTCGATCCCATTATGGTTTAGTTTCCCGTCTGTCTTAAGAATCGTGATTGAGCTATTGATGTGTTTTGTCAAATTTTAATTTTCCAGGGGTGCAAGATGGTACTCAATGGAAATGGCAGGAGTTGTTACGTACACTGGAGCAAAAATTATTCAGAACGCTCGCTTGTTGGTTGAAAGAATTGGAAGGCCACTTGAATTAGACACTGATGGTATCTGGTGCGCCCTACCGGGGTCATTCCCAGAGAACTTCACTTTCAAGACGAAGTATGACTTTACTTGTAGATTCACATGGTTGCTTTTGAATCTTTTTATCACAAGTTACCTGATACTTTCATTTATCCAAGGTCATTTTGGGATGGTTACAAAACCTGTTTGTATTCACTAAAAGTTGTAAGCATACCAGGCTTCTTTCAATGTTCTTTTCTTTTAGGTGCTAACTCTTTTGTGGATCATGTGTATCAGAGACCCAAAGAAGAAGTTGACGATATCATATCCTTGTGTTATGCTTAATGTAGATGTGGCTATAAACAATACTAATGATCAGTACCAGGTAAGCAATGAAACTCCATTGGTTTGTCTTTAAACATATTACTGAACAATTCTTGCAAATTATGCTAATTGCTCAATACCATTCTTTTAGACGCTAAAAGATCCGGTCAATATGACCTATGTGACACATAGTGAATGCTCAATTGAATTCGAGGTGGATGGGCCCTATAAGGTGATTCGTCTAGACTTCACTCACGAGATGACAATTAAATTAAATTATTAGTTGACCATTATTTATGATTTACTGGTCATTTTAAACTGATTTTGATTATTATTCCTGTATAGGCTATGATTCTTCCTGCTTCCAAGGAAGAAGGAATTCTGATTAAGAAGCGTTATGCAGTTTTTAATGATGATGGTACACTAGCAGAGCTGAAGGGTTTTGAGATCAAGCGTAGAGGCGAGCTAAAGCTCATCAAAGTTTTCCAGGTATATATTTTATGTATGCCCATGCTGTAGTTTTCTTTAAGTGATAAATATTTCATTTTTCCTCGCATCACACATCTTGAGAGCTAATGGTTGATTTACTCGTATTCATCCATTTCTACCGCAAACCCAAATTATAGTGGCATAGTGGCCCTCACAATGACAACTTTTTTCTAGTATTCGTCGAGGTTGAATATTCAGTCACTTGAAAGAACGAGAGATTTGCGTAAAAACGCTTTTCCCCCAATAATTGAGGTGTATGAAGAAGTTGAAAAAATATAATGAAATGAGCATGATTTTCATTTTTCTTTCTCCTGCTTATAGAAATGGAAAAGTCTAGTTAGATAGATTTTTTGGAAGGTGGATAATCATTAAGCAAGAATCTCAGCATAGGCTATTGATGCTTGATGTGGTGATTAAGAAATGGAAGAGAAATGCCAAAGATGTTCGATTTCACAAAACAAGATGGTACCTGAGTTGGCAAAGGTCTTGGATTGAAGTCCCGCTGCCACACATTTAATGAAATTGTCCACGTTTAGGCTTTGATAAAAAAGAAAGAATCTCTTCTGCACAACGAGTGTGTAAAAGATAAGATTTAAATAATATACACGTGGTTCTCTCTAGAAAGTTATTTTGTTAGATTAATTGGCTCAACAAAGCGTATAAATAAATGATTTAGTATGCTTAAATTTGTTGGTATCTCCAGCACAGATAAAGTTAAAACATAGCCATAAGTATTTGTTACCATCTGATTTAAAGTTGAATTCCAAGAGAAAATATTAATTTGCGCTAAGCGCTATTTTTTTTATTATTACATATTACCACTATATATAACCAGTGGAAATGTCTACGCCTTTCCTTTGAATTCTTAAATAGAAATTCACAGGAGAAACATCTTTAAAAAGCTAATAATACTCATGTGTCTCTTAATAATATATGAATTCTAGAATATACCTAGAGGCTAGAACTGAGGTACAAAATCATGGGACCATTTGCTCCCTTTTGAGCATTTAGTGGTTTAGCTTAAATATGTCCCATTCAAGTTTGCATACAGCTATATTCTTGTTCCTTTGAACTTTACTCCTTTAGCTGTTCTATTATTTTTCCCATTTACTTTAAGTTATCCAATAAGCTTCAAGAAAAAATTACATTGGCAGAAATCTTTTGACTTTGTATTATTTTGCTATAAAATTTTTCTCTCTCAATTTTTAGATAGATGCTATCATATAGTGCAGGTATCATGTACTTTCTCAGTTTTTATAAATGATTTGTAGCTTTGCTTCATGAGTAACTTGGAATGTCATTTTGCAGGCTGAACTATTCGATAAGTTTCTGCATGGGTCAACTTTAGAAGAATGCTATTCTGCCGTTGCTTCTGTTGCAAACCGTTGGCTTGATCTTCTTGATGTACGTTATAGAGCTGATAATAAGTTCTAATATTCCCTAATTGAAACAGGCTGGAAAGTCTCGCAACAAGAAATATTGATTCTGCTTGTCAAAATATTCTCATACTTACCATCAATATAGAAAAAAAATGAGATATAAAGGAGGTTTTCTTTCTTGTATTATGAACTAGAATAGACTTTCCGTTCAAACAGTTAGTAAATGAAAAAACCACTAGTTTAGTAAATATTTCACATTTTCTGGAAGAGAGGGAAAAGTGACGTTCAATTTAGCTCGAGTTATTTATATATTTCTAAAATTGGTCATAGTTGCACAACTTAAAATTTATTTTTCCTTTTATCTCAGCACAGCGCGTCATAATTGCATGAGAGTTCAATCTAATAATCAGTGAGACTAATTGATTATAATTTCAGAATCAAGGGAAAGATGTAGCGGATAGTGAGTTGCTTGACTACATATCTGAATCAAGCACAATGAGCAAGTCCTTAGCAGACTATGGTGAACAAAAGTCATGTGCAGTGACCACAGCAAAGCGTCTTGCTGATTTCCTCGGGGATGCAATGGTAAAAGACAAAGGATTGCACTGCCAGTATGTAGTTGCATGTGAACCCAAGGTATGCAACTCTTGTGTTCAGTTAGTGTTAGATTTTTCTATTTTTGTCAAGAAGTAAAGTGGAGTATTAAATGACGGCCCATGCTAAAATAAAAATTGAGAGGTTTTCTGTTTTATGATTACTTTTCTTTGAATGATTAGCTCCTTTGAATACTATATTGGAAAATGTGACAATGACAACATTATATCAAAACAACAAAAAAGAAACAGATCACAGGAGGTTGGCCTATTTTCTAAAAATGCATACCTGAGATGGTCTTTACATATTACATTCTATAACAAATTGATTAATGCTGGTTTGAATGGCTTACGAACTTTAGTGGCCACTACTTTGCAAGAAGGGCTTAAGCATTTTGGACCAATTTGCTCGTGTCCATGCATTGCCGGGCCCTTTTTAAAATTTCGCCTCCTATATAGTTTAAGATTTGGCTTCTCCATCATATGAAGATAAATACAATAGTGTTCATTCCATAAAGTTTGAAGTCAACATGTTAAAGGATATTCTCTTGCTTTATTTATCTAATTGAAGATATCCAGTGAAGTGATGGATGTGCCAGACGATGTCCTAGGACATGAACTATTGTCATTTGTTCATAGTTGCCAACCTTCCTCTCTTAGGCATTAGTTAATTATATGGTTCTTGAGTTGTGCAATCCGATGTTTCTTGGATTCTTAGGCTATTTAAATGTAACATTGAGCAGGGAACCCCAGTAAGTGAGCGCGCTGTTCCAGTTGCCATTTTTGAAACCAATGCCGGTAAAATTCTCTTCAAGTTTTCTCCATATTTTTCTTCATGCATTTGTAACATACAAGAAGTGCTTATATGTATAGGCTTTTTCAGAAATTATGAAGTTCTATGTGAAAAAGTGGTGCAAAATTTCATCAGACATTGGGATCCGGTCCATTATTGATTGGTCATACTACAAACAACGGCTTAGTTCAGCAATTCAGAAAATTATAACTATTCCTGCTGCAATGCAAAAGGTGGAGATACTCTTCCATGCTGCTTACTATAATAGTACTTCTTTTGGTTTATAATACCAATTGTTTATTTATCAGATTGCAAATCCTGTTCCAAGAGTTGTTCATCCTGATTGGTTGTATAAAAGGGTTCGTGAAAAGGAGGACAAATTTCGGCAGCGAAAATTGGTTGATATCTTCAGTGTGGAGAAAAGAGATGATGCAGTGAGTGCCAATAATGATCTTGATACCACTAATCACAAAATAGGCGAGAGTAATGTCATAGACTTGGAAGACTTCAGGAGCAATAG